GGGAATATTCAAATACGCCTTTAATAATATAAGTACAAAGACAGATATGATTCTAAAGCTTAGTATTTTAGATGAGTAAAGGGTAATGCTTCCTTTACCTACTGCTCAGCCATCTTGCTTAACTTTTCTTATATACGATTTCTAACAAGCCTGGCCGGCCTTCCAGAAACACAAATGAGAAGCAATTAGGAATTCTTTTAGGCAAAACATACTGATAAAATATGACAACATATGAGTATGAAAGTCAAGGTAAGAGTATTTTTTAAGTCAGTTGAGCCTCCTGTGGTTGATGATTTAGAAATAACACTACAGAAGACCTAAGTTTTCATGCAAGCACATTACAATGTCGTATAAAACTACTGCTACTAGGGGTTCCAGTTCGTACATGCAAGGTGTGCACGTGTTCAACATACTCTGCAATCAGTGGACTACAGACAGCTTCTCTCAGTATAGACTTGTCTTAGTCTCACTAGGGTACCTTCCCCAAAAGGCTCAATCAAAGAAAGAGGTGTCCAAGAGGAACGGCTGGGCCAGTTCAGTTCAAGGCAGAGAGGTTTGTGCAGGTGGTTACGGCAATTGTTCTTTGAGATTCCAAAGGGACAATCTTGATAGATTCTCTCAAAGGGCGGAGAAGGCTCTGAGTTTTAAAATACAGGAAAACTGCCTTGGTGAGAAAAAGGCAAGGGAAGTTGCAATGAGGAAATTGTTTTTCCCCATCACAGCATCCACTTGTTTGTTCTTCAAGGTTAATAAGGACTATCCTGTAAGAATTTTATTGTGAAACCTTATCTTACCCACCGTACAGCCCCTATTTTGCAAAAGTTCCTTTTGTTCAAAGAACATTGAAAAGAAGCATCACTGGAGTCTCTCTCATGGATACTTGAACTGTTTTGAGGATTAGAAAGATGGAAATACCACCTTTATGAGTATATATAGATGCGAGACGTGTCAAAGAGCAATAGCTTCATGTTTTGATATCGTTGTTTCATAAAGACTTCTATGGTTTTGTGGCAAGACTTTTTGACTTACTGTGGTACAGTAGTACTTCTTAGGAGAGAAAATGGTTATTCCATATAAGGTTTTTGGGAAAAGATTAAGGAATACAAGCTTTCTGGAAATGTCTATATATGCCTTATGTTTGCTAATAACTAACATTCCACAAATTTATAATACTGTAACATCTAAGAATGTCCTCAATACCTAAAATACCTCAGTTTATGAATCTAAGCCTTAGAAAACAAAATTCCAAGACCACATTGTTCAGATTCTTATAAGTTGCTACCTTAAAAATGTACTAATTACTATGTCTGCACAAAATACCAATTTTTGTCTTTTAAAAATAAAGTGACTCATTGTACCCTATAATGTAAACAGAAGATGAAGGGTACGGGGCTTTGTTTTGCTACTCAATTATTTTGGGATGTTCCTTAAACTCACCCAACTTGTTTTCTTAAGTACAGCAGTGAAAAAGTTGGTAAAAGAATCTAAGGCGATCAGATGGAATTTAGTGCTTCTGCGGCCACTGCAAACGGGAAGGAAACATGGTATAGCTACTTTGGAAGTTTGGCAATTCCTCAGAAAGTTAAATATAACAAGTTGATTCTGACTCATAGTGACCATATAGAACACAGAACCACCCCTAAGGGTTCCCATAGCTGTAAATCTTTCTGGGGTCAGAAAACCTCATCTTTCTTAAGAGTAGCTGGTGGGTTCAAACTGATCTTGTCGTCAGCAGCCCAGCTCATAAACCACGACGGCCCCCTGCCTCCTAGAACTACCACCATTCCACTCCCGGGAATGTATTCAAGACTTGCATCAAAGCAAAGACACCAGTGTTCCTTGCAGCATGATTCACAATAGCCAACAAAAGATGGAAATAAATTCAATGTTCATCAAGAGATGAATGGATAAAATGTGGTATGTGTGTGTGTATATATATATATATAAATAGAACACTATTCAGTTACAAAAAGAAACTAAACCCTAATATATACTACAACACAAACCTTCACTCATGAAGCTGAGTGAAGCTAATCACAAAAGGACAAATATATGGCCTCATTTATGTGAAATATTTAGAATAGACAAATATATGGAGACTAAAATTTATAAGTGGTTACCAGGGCGGGAGGAAGCAAGGAGAGTTACTGATTATTATAATGGAAAACTCTAATGAAACGATTGTTTGTGAGGGTTACATAAAATTATTAATGTAATTGTTTTCATAAATAGTACACATGAAAAAACTGAATTGGCGATGCTATACATATTTACAATAAAAATACCTTTAAATATGGTAAAGCATTAATAGTCGATTTCCCCCTTTAACCTCAAAACTATTTGGGGGTGAGGGGAGTCCAGTGTTTGACATGAAAACAAAAACTATTCTATTAAGATGAAAAGCAGTCATGAACAGCAACTGAGAAGGCTACAGTATTCATATATTTTTTATACTTCATTCTGGAAAACAGATCCTACATATCAATTCATCCTCAAAACAAATTTATGAACTTACATTAGTTACAATAAACCTTACTTTTAATGTGGTTCTTTGCGTAACCACACTTACTCAGATTGAGTGGTCTAAACAAATCATTAATTTATGCAGCATTTTCCGGTTGCCAAAAGCAAAATTTATCTTAGGTATGGTAGATAAATATTATTATTCCCACATGAAGCTAAGGGAGATTAACTTGCCCAACACAGAAATTATTTGGATGTCCAGAGCAAAGGAGAAGCCTCGGATTTCACTAGCCAAGATACAGAGCATCTATTAAACTCATGCTATCTTACAAGCAAGACTCAATGGAGCCTAGTTGGCTTTCTTTAGTTACAGAAAAAGAATATGCCTATGGTTTGGGTCACAAACTATTAAATTTTCAAACAGAAACAATTACCTATGCGCAGCAGAACAAGACTTAGCATTTTCAGAGGGGCAAACTTAGTGAAAAGGGCTCAGTTCCCAATCTTCCTCTGAGGAATCATTGCCAGGATTATTTTTTAACAAGAAACATTTCAAATAATTTTCTCCCAAAGTCCATCTGCTAGACTCCATAAATTAGTTGCTTAAAAGATCAGTAGCAGAGAAACTGAAACCTACCAAGTTTTTCTTTCAATCTCCTGAAAAGAACCACATTGCATGCACGATGCTGGCCACGCTCTGGTAGAAATGATGGAAAACAACAGCTGACGGCCAACTTGGGACAAATGCCAAAAGTTTCCATTTGTCTGAAACACTGAAATTACTTGAAATAACATTGTTTTCAAAGATAATTTATCTCTAAATAAAGAAAAATATCAACTAGTATCTTAAGAATTGGAGTAAATAGTATTTTTTTAGTCTGCAATATTAGCTTGTAGAATTTTAATGTTCCAAAGCTTAAGTAAACACATCTCAACAAGCTTTAAGTATTTTCATATATTTTATTTTTTAAACACTTAATAATTTTGCAAGCTAGCAGTAAAATGTCCTTAATAGTTTATTGATTAGCACCATGTACTTTTTAAAGCTAACTGAAACATTGTTTCATTATAAATGATTGTAAAATAAAATGATCATTTCAAATGCCAAGTTAGGCTTATAAACAACACATGAACCATTAATTTTTACCATTATTTTTGGCTTTATGCACAAAGCTTTCAATAAAGAATTTAACTACCAATTAAATGTATGTCGATCTAACAAATCAAAGTATTCTAGTATAAAGCCATAATCCCAGAAATTAGCATTTAATTAAAAAGGCATATATGTAAAATTAAGGAATCTGCTATAAAAACAAGATACTGTAGCTAATTTGTAATCCCTTATTTTTTTAGAAAAATGAGGAAATTTGTCAATGAAAATTTCTACCATGCAAGATCAGTTACACATATAGTTTAGTACATGTTGGTATTCTGCTTTGCTTACTAGAGGAGTTTGGTCTAACTGAAAACCCATCAAAACTTCCAGGATAACTCACAGGGACAGCTGAAATCCAGAAATAAAACTGTTCAGCGCAAAAGATCTCAAGTCATTCATATAATTTAAAAGGGAAACTTAAGCCACTTAACTCCTATCTTCCAGGTGGAAGATAATTCAAGATGAAAAAAACAAACTAATTATGCTCAACCTTACTTCCACACATTACAAGTTGTTTTTTTTAAAATCCGTTTTATGTTCTGATAAAACATTCTTCAGAGCTATGGGTTAAATTGAGCGATGACTGACTAGTTACTAGCATGCCAGTTTTGCATACCAGTCGAATCAAATCCAGTTTTGCCATTTGTGGATAACTATGACAAGATACAAAAGCATGTGTCTGCCATAAATAGCTCTGGCTAACAGCAAACTGCTCACACTGAGCAGATCAAATTCTCTATAAGGAGAGCAGTTTTTGGAGCACAGCCAAATCCTACTCTTAATGTTTAAGATGATCAATTCTGTTCTCAATTAAATGTGCAAAATATATGAAAGGACTTCAAAAAGTTTGTGGAAACACTCATCCCTTCCCCACCCCTGTAACTTTTTGAAGCCCCTCTGTATTAAGGGGTAACAGCAGAAAATAAAGTTCTTAAACCTCAGAAGTATTATTAAACTTTTGAAGGACATTTTCCAAATTTTTTTCATTATATCCCACTAAGAGCTTCCTGCTTCTACTACTCAACCACTTAGACATGTAAATGGGTAATAAAAAAAACAACTACCCTAATTTATCCAGAGAACGAACGAGGTACTGAAGAATACTTAATGTCAAAATGCAAAAAATAAGTTCTGATCTCCATATTAAAATATAATGAAATAAACTGATTATAAAAGTACTACTCTATAATTATGGTATTTTTAAAGTACTTGGCTTTAGGATGAGTAATTTTAAACCAAATAAATCAAATTAGGAAAATATCATGCATGAATATTGTACAAAAGTCTCAAATGACCAATGCAGAGGTTAATAGCTGTTTACCCTAAAGTTGTTTTACATAAGATTTTTCAAAAATCGCAAGGAAAACAAGGCAACGTTCCGTAATATGCCACAATTTTTATTGCAACGTGGCCATTTTTGTGAGGTGAGGAGTTGAACTCAAAAACAACGTTCCATTTAAGGCTCTTTTATACAGAAATTGCCATCATGACTGATATTCAAAATATTCGTTAGTGTTGCAACATCACATGGTAAACATAAAACTTCTAAACGTACTCAGTAGTGTACACTGAATGGAAAATCAAAAGGCATTAACAGCTATTTCTTTTACAAAGATATGCAGTGCAGGGGACAGGAATGAACACTGAGGCCCTAGGACAAATTGATGACACAGTATCTGCAACTTAATTGGCATTCCTCCCGGGGTGGAGGGTCAAACGCATGACCAGAAAAAAAACAACCACGTGTGTTCAATGCATAGTGTTTTATCTGTGCTGCCATTCTGCAAAAATAGGCTTGCCAAGGCAGTGAGGTGTATGAATGTTTGAGCTTCACAGAACTGCAACCAAGTGCAACTATAAATAATGAGTAAAGTCTACCATCTAACCAGTGGATAACACTTTTCAAGGCATTCAATTAGCTTACTCTTTACAGTACTCTAAGCTATTCACATTGACGATCACATTCACTGTGGTACTTGCTGCAGGGGAGGCATATAACGGGTTGTTTTGGCTAAAGAAAGGCATTCCTTGGGTTCTACATAAAACTAACAGTTGTAACAGTCTAACGGCAATCACTGATAGGCTGCTTAAATGAATGATCTCTCCTTCATGTGTTGAAAGGACCAGCGGGTGAGGGGAGAAAAAAACCAAAGAGCCCTAATACTATTCCAATGGCCTGGACTGGAGAAATGAAAGCTCCTTGAGATCCAGATGGCACGTGACTGTCATTTTATAAGGGTTTTCCTTCAAGTGAAACTACTACATTGCCTCCCAACTTCTCTCCAAGGGTCGAGCGGTCCTTAATATCGTCCAAGCCATTAACTTGCCACTCATGTTTAATACCTAAAAACACAAAGAGAGAGAATTTATCTCATTACTTTTAGGGGTGGTGGTGGTAAAAAAGGAACACTTCACCTCACAAAATATTCAATGTTTGTACCTGTAAACTTCTTTTTAATGGCATCTTTAGAGCTAGCATAAATCATCTTGCTTTTTAAAGGTGCACTTTCAGGAGCCCTAGAGGGAGGAAGAAAAAAATGTTGAATCCTAATTACAAGTGAAACAGAGGCAAAACTGACTATGTTAATCGTAATTCTTGTGTTTAAAGTTCTTGTTTCTTTTGTTTTTACACACCAGAATATAAATACTAGGTCTTCTTTCTTAGACTCTTTTGTTTCGTATGTGGCATCATACAAAGCATATCGGCAATCATTCAGAGGTAGCAACTTCACAAAAGATGTGTAGGGGTCTTCTACAGTCTCACCAATGTCACCCACCAAGATCTGCTTTGCTTCCTCTACAATTATTTGCCTTTTGTCATCGCTTAAACAGAAGAGGACGGCTTTCTTTCTTTTTTTGATCTCCTCTTGGGTAGAAGATTTTCTTACTTTCATATCATTAAAAACCTTGATGACTTCATCATTCACTGTCACTCCAGAGGCCTGAAAACAAAACCAAGAGAAGCCATTCAGCGACAGCACTGTTGCTTGTAACCAAAATTCCTGTTTGCCCAGGGGTTCGCTTGAGGCACCCAAAAAACTCCATCATACCGCCCCAGGAGTCCAACCAGACGAATCCCATTTTAGGGACCAGTACACGAGCCACCTGGAAGGATTCTAAGTCATCCTGCCCCATTCATTCTTCTTAAAGGGGTTTGAAGGAAATGGAAAGTGAGTGAGTGAGTGGGACGGACACAGCTGCCGCATCCCTGAAATGTTTCCTATTTCACGGCGTGATGTCAGTGCTTCAGGAGCTGCAGCAGAAATACCTTCTGTATTGTGTCAACCCTGCGGGCCTTAAAAAAACACTTTTGGATTACAGTTAATGCGTCTGGGATTTGTTTTCTTTAAAGTCCGTCTCGGCAGTGCCGTTTCCTCATAAGGAAAGAGAATCGAGCGTAAACTCCAAACCGCCCACGGCTACCGGCTGAAACCCAGACACCTTGGACCTCCGACTCCCCTCGAGAAAGCACGTTTTAGGCGTCTTCCCACCTCCTCAATCTCTCCGTCGAAAGGCCATCACGACCCCGACCAAAGGCCGTCAGCAAGGGGTGCAAAGCGCCTCTCCCGGAGGCGCCTGGGAAACGGGATTAGGCAGCGCAGGGCAGCCAGGCTGCGCTCGGCGGCCCCTCAGCGACCCCG